TATTCAGAGACTCAAAACACAAACACTATTATCGCGTGTGTTTTAGCAATTATTAATATCTATTAAATGTTATTTAATATACGATTATTTGATTTAATTAATAATATAATTGCCAAACACTATGTCCTCTCATGTAATACAACACTAATTGTTTGCGATTTCTTGTAATTATTTCGCGGAACAGAATATTCTGTAACCAAATATTGTATTTATATATAAAGCACTTATGTTTGTACAGAATGTCATACAAAATGCTATACAATTAAATGTTATTATTGTTCAAATTAGATAAAATGCATGCTTTTATTTTATTAGTTTCTTTAAGTAATGGTCGCTAATTGTTATCTACAAACAAATCTTATCTATTATTTATAATACAGAGAAAAGGGATAATAAAATTTTTTTTATATCATGTTTATCTTATTTCGTGAGTATTTCCTTCTCTCTCTCTCTCTCTTTCTTTCTTTCTCTCATCTTATCTTATCTTATCTTTCATATGAATTGAATCGAGTATTGAGTGCTTTTAAAAGCAGACAATTTTTACCGTCATATTTGTTTATTTTCCCATTCAATACTAAGCAATTCACGACAACATTAATACAGACCACTCATGTTTTATTAAACCATGGTGAATTATACAATCAACCATTGAGCACACTATGCCGAGTATTGACACGAAATGTGTATTAATAAAATCATTCAATACTTGACAACGAGTGTCGATATTATTAGAAACAATAATTATTAAGAAAATCTAACATGGGTAATCTAACATTGTATGCACTTATTTACCATTGATATCATATGTTCTGTACATTATTGACAATACTGTACATTATATGCCATATATTATATACGGTCTCAATAGTGGGAATTGTAAATAATATTCTGGTAAATAATATATTGTCAATAGGGCTTCAGTATTGAATTCTTATCATGTTAAATTTATTTTTTATAATCCCATTTCTTTATGTAAAAGTGAATAACATTTTGACAAAAACCATATGAATAGGAAATTCGTATATAATTCATAATATTTATTATTTATATTAGTCTTCATTATAAATAATTAAATTTGAGATAAACTATATGTTTGATTATACTGTCCTTCCGCTTATATAACTATTGCTCTTTTAAGCCTAAATTAGTTATCATTTTCTTATATAATACTATAAAATGAAAATAAAATAATAATATCTGTCGTCGAGATAACAACAAAGAGTATCTCATATTTCCGTTGAAATTTTTAGCAAAACATTTATATATTTATGAATAATATTTTTTGTCTAATCTAATAGACATGTATTCAGGGTATTAGCAATGCATTAGGAAATGCTTGCAAAACAATCTCTATTTGATATTTTCATTTAGATTTCAATTCACTCCAGAATTCACTGATAAATGTGTTACTAATATATTATGAAATATATTATGTTTTCCATTAGCATATATTTTTAACATTAAAATTTCAGTAAAAAAGGATTTATTTTTAAATAAATTATATATAAATTTAAAATATATTTTTTGTGCTGTGATTTTAGTCAAATTTAATACACTGTTTAATATAAGTTTATAAAAAATATTGTGTAATAAATGAAAAATGTTGTTTAATCTAATTAAAACACTTCCGGGCTTTTTTAATACAAGATATTTTTTATTTTTTTTAAACTCACTTTTCTGTTGAAATTTAATTAATTCATAAAATAATTTATAAAAAACTAATTCAAAATTTTAATAAATTTTAGTTTTAACTCGAAACCAGCGAAAATATAATTTATTAAAATTTATGACATTATAATGTCTTTACAAATAAAATATATTTTCAATCTTAAAGTGTAGACAAATTTATATAAATTGACATAAAATATAATACATTACATAATCATAATAAATGATAGCAAATATTCGCTTACCGTAAGTGTTGTTGAATACAATTATTACAATAATAATAACAAATGTTGAGAAAATTTCTGTTGTGTAATGTCTTAACCAAAAATGTTATATAAAGTCTGTAATGTTTGAAATGTTATATTTCACAAACAAATTAGTTATCAATTCACAGAGAAAATAAGGTTTCAATTCAATCCACACACGACTAACACAAACACACAGAATATTCTGTGAAATGTAAGTGTTGTACGACTTCTCGCAAACGCAAACACCAGAATCTGTTTCCGCGATAAACGCTTTTTATTGCGAATACAGAATATTCTTGAAAATATATACAACAACTGTGTGTTGACACGATTTAGTACAACAAACTCGTCGATTCTGTAAGCAGTTTATGAATAAAATCAGTTTTTCAAATGTTTATTACAAATATTATTATTATTATATTCAACGTGAAAAACAGTATTCATAATATTTATCTCTCATTCACTCATTCATTAGTCAACTGAAGACTACTTGTAATTATAATAACGATAATAACAGTGTATTAACATTACATTCAGTGAATGAACAAAAAAGCAACAAACATTTATAAATGTAATTTTTATGCAGATCTCACTGATTATGGTGAACTGCACTGAACTTAACTACACAGAGTGGAGTAGACTCTGTGTTAAAAACGAGATAGGGTATATAGAAATTATATATAACTTTTTTATATACCGCTACAGTGTATGTCAATTGAATTCAATCCGCTTTTTTAACAATAATAATCATTATTCGTATTATTCTTTTACATGAATAACACTTATACTGAATAAAAATATATAGTTGTAAAAGAGTTGATTGTCTTATATCGCGGTGGCTGTAAATCACAGGCAGTTTTTGAGTGTCAGTTTGAGTGGCTGTATGTGTGTGTCTGTGTATATGAACGGAGAGATAGTGAGTGACTGCCAGAGAGTGTGAGTGAGAAGCGAGAGAGAGAGAGAGAGAGAGAGAGAATGAGTGAATGACACAAATCGAGAGTGCAATTCACTCAACACAGACAATACCGTACAGTACTGTATATATTATATAATATTTTTGGTAATATTATTATATATACAATACTGGAAGCGAGAGAAGAAGTGAAGAGTCAACCACTCCTTATTGAGTGGTACACTATATATGAGTTGTATTTTGTTATATTCCCTATTCTTATACCATGTGTGTGTGTATATACAGAGCGCCTGGTATATAGCGATGAGGTCTATGTCTTTATACACACATACCAGTGCCGGTTGAATATACCATACCCTCTCCCAATCCCATTACATAACACACACTTTTAACACCATATAGTATTTGTTTCGGTTGCGACAAAACTCCCGGCGCGCCACCCGATGGTCATGCCATACGATTCTTGATGTGTGCGCACACATCGGGGTATTAAATAGTCGATATAAAGTTACTACACTTACATAGTTGTTATATGCAGTGTCTAACTATTGCATAACACTGGCACTGGTGTTGAAACAGCGCCACCAGAATCGGTTATATTGTATAATATCAGTATATCTCTACTGTAGCTAACATACCGGTGCCACTGGCCTATAGTCTCGGAGTTTAAACCATGTTTATATGATTTATGGGAATTAACTTTGGATTTGTTTACGCAGAAAACTTAATCGAGATTGGTTAAAATCTGGGCATAAACTTACGTGTAAACTAAATACTAGATAAAACATAAAGAGAGAGAGAGAGAGAGAGAGAATGAGTGAATGACACAAATCGAGAGTGCAATTCACTCAACACAGACAATACCGTACAGTACTGTATATATTATATAATATTTTTGGTGATATTATTATTATACTGTATATACAATACTGGATGCGAGAGACGAGTGAAGAGTCAACCACTCCTTATTGAGTGGTACACTATATATGAGTTGTATTTTGTTATATTCCCTATTCTTATACCATGTGTGTGTATATAAAGAGCGCCTGGTATATAGCGATGAGGTCTATGTCTTGATACACACATACCAGTGCCGGTTGAATATACCATACCCTCTCCCAATCCCATTACATAACACACACTTTTAACACCATATAGTAACTTATTTGTTTCGGTGGCGACAAAACTCCCGGCGCGCCACCCGATGGTCATACCATACGATTCCTGATGTGTGCGCACACATCGGGGTATTAAATAGTCGATATACAGTCACTACACTTACATAGTTGTTATATGCAGTGTCTAACTATTGCATAACACTGGCACTGGTGTTGAAACAGCGCCACCAGAATCGGTTATATTGTATAATATCAGTATATCTCTAACTGTATCTAACATACCGGTGCCACTGGCCTATAGGTGCTGCACATATACTCGCGGAGTTTAAACCATGTTTATATGATTTATGGGAATTAACTTTGGATTTGTTTACGCAGAAAACTTAATCGAGATTGGTTAAAATCTGGGCATAAACTTACGTGTAAACTAAATACTAGATAAAACAAGTTTTACCTATTGTATTCATTGCCAATTGATAATGTTTATGCTAACGTCCGCAATTAATCTAGACCTAAAATAATTAAATGTTCAAGTAGATTTTATAATTTAAATATCAAAGTTTAATGCAACCATATCTAATCTTGGTACTGAAAATAAAATATAGCTTATTAAAAATCAAATACCTAATTAATAATTAAGTAGGTAATCGACATTAAAGCGCAAAGTACATTGGTTAATTAATTAATCTCAATCAATTAAAAAAATTAAATACAAATAAAACAAGTTTTTTATCACGTTCATTACAAAATTACTGAAAGGGGGCCCACTGGGGGTACAACCAAAAACCGTACGTAATTTTTGAACGGCTCCTCACAGTATTAAAAGTCTTTATCAACAAAAAAAATTGATTCAAAAAAATTTGTTTACATTTAAAGTGTGTCTCAAATGAAAAGGCATTTAATAATAATAATTAAATCAATAAAAAATACAATTAATTTAAAAAAATTGTTTAATTAAAAGTCACCAAAAAATAGCCAAAAAACTTATAAAAATGTTTTAATAAATAAACAAAAAAATAATTAATGAAAACAACAAAAAATAAATACCAAGTGTTTTGTCGACAAAAATAAAATGTATGTTTTATTTTTATTCAATATATTCCTCTTCGCGACGGAAGTGCTGACACTTATGGTGAAGATTGGGTACATTTTCGCCGCACAGGTGGCCAAATACGTGTGCGGACCACAAGAGCGCAAATCGGTGGCCGGACAGGTGGTGGTCGTGACCGGCGCCGGCAGTGGTATCGGTCGGGCGCTGGCCGTCACGTTTGCCGTCGAGTTGGGCGCAGTCGTCGTCCTTTGGGACATCGATCGGGTACTACAACACACCCCTCCCTAGTCCTCCCCCACAATCCCCTCAACATACACCACTCCCTCTGACTTTCACATCAATCTTACCGTTATATACTTGGGTACTACACCCCCACCCCCTGTCCATTCACTCCTAGTCTAACCACCGATACACTAACTTTTACCCCAACTCCCTGTCCACTCCTACCCGAGTACCCCAAATACCCACGTATACCCCAACCCTATCGCTGCCCCCAACCCTACACTTAAGACTCTCCCACTAATTAATACCGTTATCACTAATTGTTATATCACTTCTCTATCACTTCAGAACTCGGTAGAGGCGGCCGCCCGCGAGATACGAGCGGCGGGTGGTGTGGCCCACGCCATGACCGTCGACGTGAGCGACGAGAAGTTGGTGGAGATGGCCGCCCGACAGGTGCGCGAACAGGTGGGCGCCGTACATATGCTCATCAACAACGCCGGCGTCTGTCCGTGTCTGCCGTTCAAACAGCTCACTGCTCAACAGATCCGCCGCACGTTCGACGTCAACGTTATGTCACACTTTTGGGTCAGTAGTAGTGGTGGTGGTGTCCGAGAGTCGAGAGGGGCGCACCCGGGGGGAGGTGTGTGGCTACCCATTAGGGGGTCCCTCACTCACATATGTGTTTTACTATTGTGTTTGACTAGTTTTTTGGTGGTAACGGCTGTTTGTTTTGCGTATACTTTACAGACAATCAAAGAGTTTCTGCCGATTATGGAGGAGTGCGGTCGCGGCCATATCGTGTGCATCGCCTCGTCGGCCGGCATTATGGGCAGTCCGTACTTCACGGCCTACGGGTTTGTCCGCTTGATATTACATACATTCATCATTTCTCACACACTTTATGCTCACACTATCACTATATAACAGGTCCTCCAAACACGGAGTGGTGGGACTGATGTCATCGCTGCGCAAAGAACTACACGCGATGGACAAACACAACCAGATCAAGATGACCACAATCTGCCCGCTGGGCATCAGCGGCACACACATAGACATACCGACGCGAACCCGATTCCCGCGCGTTCTGCCCGTAATGACGCTGGACTTCGCCGTCGCTCAGATGGTGGACGGAATACTGCGCGAAGAGGACCTCTTTGTCATACCGTTCACATTCCGGTGGCTGTATTTCATACACCGGTAGGCATACACAGAGTGGACACACAACTGGTCCCTAATTAAGACCTAGTAATTTGCTTAACCATGTGTTTGATGTCATCCGCTCTAACAGATTATGTCCGCTAAAAGTGTCGCAACTATTGTTTGAGTTCTTGGACTACGCGGTAGAGCCCGAGGGCTTTCACGCACCTGTAGGTCGCAGTCACTATCACGACCACAGAGACCATCGCAACCATTACTGACTGGTCTCGAAGACAGGCATATCTTAAGAGCTTTGATATCTCCCCCCGAAGAATATGATTCTCTCTACTGAATACAGTGTACTTACGCTATAAATATCACTCATTTTATATTTTTGTAATTGTTTTTATGATAAATTTAGTGCCAAATACTATGTATCCTAAAAAAAATATATCACAATTTATGTTAATTTTTAATCAATTACGGTAATTGTTTACCAGAATCTAATCAAAACCAACACTTTTTAATTGTTATCACACTTTAGTTTTTGAATAGTTTTTTGATTTTATTTTTTACAAAATATTATCGCATTTAATGTTGAATTTATACACAAAAACAA